CAAAAATAATACTTATTTTAAATTAATAGTTACAAGTTCTAATGAGATTGTTCTTTTGGATTTTGTTCTCAATTCTAATCAAGTTGGAAAATTAAAGTCAAGGTGAGTATTTACACTTGATTAATCACAACTTATTTCATTGCTTTAATTGATTAATTATATATTTATTCATTTATGATTAGTCCCAGATATAAGATAAACTTATTTTGTTGCTCTGCTGAACAAAATTTACAAAATATACAAAATGAATCATTGGTTGAATTCCCTGATTCTTGTGAAGTTAGAGTCAATCATAAAATGTCACCTTATGTAAATATCATAAATATTTATTTTTTTGTTTATATTATTAATTAATCGATTAATTTAATACATTAATTAATAAAATTAGAGAAAGAGCAGATCAGATGCACAACCCCCTCGAGACATCACAGATTTATGCAAAGTAACTTCAGCACATGTAAATCAAGTCCATTTTGGATTTGCAGCTACTTCAAAGGTAAATTTTGCCAATAGTAAATTATATTTATATTCAAATTATATTATGGTCTAATCATACTTGTGATATTATATTATTATTAGAAATACTTGATAATTGTATTGTTGATTAAAACTATCTTAGTTGAAGAAATTGTTGATAAGATTAAGAATGGAAAATACATTGAAAAAGAAGCTGTTTTAGAAAAAAGTAAATTCAATATTTCAATTGTTTTTAATAATGCATATCTTTTTTTGCTCATTATTAATAATAATTACTATTTATTCAACTATTGAAAAGTTAAAAAACAAATTCAAGATTCCGATGTAGTTGCAACCTCAAGTATTATATCATTAAAAGATCCGGTAGAATTATTATTAATGTTTATTTTTTTTTTATTTTATTTTTTTTCAAAACAAACCTCCTAAATTAATATTGAATCTCTTATCATCATCATTATTATTATCAGTTGGGACAATGTAGAATAAGCATACCTCGTAGGTCAATTCATTGTAACCATATACAATGTTTTGATGCCCTTTTGTTTTTTAGAATGAATGAGCAACTTCCTACATGGACATGTCCAGTTTGTAACAAACCACTAAACTCTTGGGAGGAAATTGTGATTGATGGGTAATTAATATCAATCAATTAATTAATCAATTATTAAATTATAAAATATATAAATATTAATCTATTATTCTATTCATTAGCTATTTTAATGAAATTCTAGCAAAAACTACTGAAGATCAAGAAACAATTGTAATTGATTCAAATGGCAATTGGTCAGAATGTAAAAAAGCCTATAAACTTCACGATATTGATGAATCTGATGATACATTTAATAAACATTCTCCAAATAAAAAAAGAAAGATAGAAAATAATATTTTCATTGTAGATTCAAGTGATGGTGAAGGCGAGGAAAACAATTGTGGTGTTATAAATAAAAATAATTCAAATATGGAGAATGAATTAAATTTTATTGATCTAACACAAAATAGTGATGATGATGATGATGAAAAGGAAGAGAGCAATGTTAAAGATATTCAAACAACGGCTACTGAAATTGAAAAGGCTGCTGATGCTAAAGCCATTAATATTAATCAAAGTTTAATTAATAATATCGCTAGAACTAATAATATTATAGATAATTTTAATAACACTAGTATTACTATAGATTATAATGGTAATGTCACTACTATGGATAATAATTGTATTAGTAATGGCAGTAGCAGCAGAAACACTGAAAATGGCAGTAGCAGTGGTGGTAGTGACAATGGTGATAATAATAGTTATAGCAATAACAATGGTTATTATATCTTTCAACCATCACCATCACCTTATTTAGTAAGTAAATTCCATTCTCATAATTCTCATTGAAATACAGTGTTGGAAATTCAGATGTGCAGGGTATGTGCACTAATCAAATTTGCAAACTATCTTAGCAAAAAAGTTAAAAAATTTGTATAACTGACACAATTGAATTTCCAACACTGGTTGAGTATGTAAATTTGTCAGGATCTAATAATTATATTTTTTTGGAACAAAAATTAGCGTTGTTTCAAATATGCACTAAAAGCCATATCAGAAACAATTGATGAATCTCAAGATATAGCCCATTTAAATAATGTAGTTGAAAAATACCAATTCACAATAGACAAAATAACAAGAGAATTGGATCAACTACAGCTAGAAATGTACAATGACAGTACATTATATAACAATAATATAGAGGTATTTTTTAGTTATTCTTGTTTATTAATTATTATTTATATTTAGAAAATTGTAATATTAATATTTGCATCAATATTACAGGATCTGCAGATATCAGAGGAAGAGGATGACAATGAAGGAAAAATAAACCAAGAAGATAGTATTGATGATGTTGTTGTTTTGGAGAATATAGTAGAAAAAGATGAAGAGGAAAGACAAGAAATTGTAAGTACCACCAGTATCATTATGTCTACAAAGGATGATAATGATAGCAATGATGGTGATGATCTAATGGACCTGACAAATAATTTAAATGAATCAACAAATACCAGATGTAAGTGCTGATTTTTAAAGATGTGTATAAAATTCAACCAATTGAATTTGCTTAAATAATTATTTGCATATCAATTTGTAAAAGTGACTAAATGATATTCTATACATTATTTTAAAATAAAAAACAGGCTTTTACACAAAACCACCAAGGTACAGGCCGTATAATATAGCTTTAAATGAAATCAGACGACATCAAAGAACAACAAATCTTCTTCTAAGAAGAATACCTTTTTCTAGAGTAGTTAGTGATCAGAAGATTATTATTACATTATTAATAATCATTTAATATACAAATACTAGTCAATTAATCATTATGTATATATATGTATAGGTTGAAGAAATTGCCACAAACATATTTCAACAACATTCTAATATGGGATTTGAGTTTGAATCCACAGCCATTACAGCACTTCAAGAAGGTAATTAATTGATTTATTTTTTGATTGAATCCTACATGTATGAATTTGTGAATTTATATGTGTGTGTGTATAATATTATTTTTTTTTTTTAATTAGCTGCTGAGACATATTTAATTGAGTTGTTTCAGGATGCGTAAGTTGATTTAATAATTTTCAATCTGTAAAAAGATAATGATTCTATTTATTCTATTAACAATATTACTATTAATAAAAAAAACTTCTTCCCCATTATCATCATCAGTCGACTATGTACAATTCATGCTAAGCGAGCAACACTGTCAAAAGAAGATATTGAATTAGTACTAAATATTCGTGGTTAAGGGGTTGATGAGTTGATGATGTTTTTTTTTAATTTTTATTGGATTTTCTTTTTTTTAAACAAAAAAAGCTTATTTAGTTAGGGTTATAATTAAAAAAATACATTAATATTAATATTAATATTATCACAATTACACTAAATTTTGTTCCCTGTAATGTGTGCCATATAATGTTCACTTTGTCTGGTTTTGTTGCAGTATGTCCCATGTGACAAATCGATCGTTGATCTTTTTTATGTTGAAAACAGGGTGTGATTGCGCATAAAAACTTGTTTAACCTATGATACATTTTTTTAACGCGTATATTTTGCTTTCTATGTTCTCAGTATATGTGTGAAAAATGATCAAATGATCAAGTCGCTTTTG